GTGCGGATTGCACAAAAAGAGGACAATGTCATATACTGTGGGGAATATCCGATGAAATAGTAATAGTAGGCTTCTTTCCTAACTTGTTGGGTACAATAGGCATGAGGTCCGACTAGTTCAAAGACATAGCCAGCTGGCATGAACTAAAGCTGAAAACCATTGCTGGCCATGAGTGACCTTGGGTGGTTAGGTAAATGGCCGGAGTCACAACTAGCAAAGGTGGAGATGGAGATGGGATAATTCAAATTGGCAAGTTTTGTCTCAAAAATATGGTTTAATCTGAAAGTAAGCAGACTCACTGGAGAACGCGGATGATTTGTTTCTGTGGCGATATCTCATGCATTTGAATTTCTAGTTGTCCGGGCGATGTCCGAAATGGTAGCTTGTTCACGTATGTTCCATTGGCGGATTTCTTATTTACAGCGGTCTAGCATTTTACGAAATACAGGCTCATCTTAAGCGTCTCCAGTAGTCAACCTTCTGGAAAAAAGTTGAGGCTTCTTTTCCAGAGGAGGCCAAATCCTTTTAGGCAGCCTGCGGCTCATTTGGCTGCCTGATGTTTTTTTGGGACGAACATCGCGTCAACCTCGTGAACTTTTTGGAAACCGTCCTATATATGTCTCCCACTGGTCCAATTTTAACTTGCTCAAGGAAGATGCGCATTTCTGAAAAGCCTACGCGGAAGAAGTTTCGATTCCGATTTGAGGTTCGAGATTACCGGCCCAATGGCAGATTAAATCGAGGGTCAGCACACAGCGTTGACTATGTTGTGGTGTGGCGTTAGTTATTACCTGATCAACGAAGTGTCTTTTGCTGGTAATGACCAAATCCAGGAGGGATGGTAGTTGGCCTGCGCGGTATCTGGTGAGTGCAACGACATGGTGAGTCGAAGCCCTCTTTTGAACGACTTAAGTCAGCGCGACTGCAAAAAGTCCACTTAAACCGATGCGTTAGAGCTCCATCCAGCAGGACGTTGGAACGTGGAAGTCACCCACCAGCAGGAAATGACTGAAGTGATAGCTAAAGTAGAATTGAGGAATGGGTCATCTTCAGGGGAACCCGAGGGGCTATGGGAGGCCACACCAAGAGGAAGATAATTCGACCCATGTAGCGGGATTTGAATCCACAGTGCATTGCAGAAGGTGCAGGAGCGGTATCGGAAAGGACAATCGGGATGTGCAGGGGCCGAATGCAAATACAAAGCAGCGCTACCAGCCCTCTCTCGTTTTGAGTTAGCTCGTAAAACAGAGTAGCCATCTGTCAAGATCTTTGCGTCAAAGACATCTGGTGTGATCTAGGTCGATGTGAGTGTGATTATGAGAGGCTGTTCAAGGCAAGCTGACTGTTTATTATCGCAGTTTGTTGAAAAGATTGAGGCAGTTTGTGAACAAGCATTTCAACACTGTCTCTCCTGCCTCTGAGGGTAAGGAGTCGAGAGATGCTTGACCAGGGAGGTAAGCACACTTATTAGTTTTACATCGAGTTTGAATTCAGGGCTCCAAAAGTGCCTCTGGGGCATGCTCGTCTGCTCCCTGTATTGGTGGTTTCAACGGATGCCTTTCATTTGCTGGCCTTTTTTCGCCACGTTATAGCCCGGTTTGCTCAGGACTTTTACCTTTGGAGAACGAACTGCCTCCCTCGTGGGTGCAAATTTCTACCACTGCTGCTTGTAGTTCATTTGATATCATCTTTTGGACGACCAGACTTGCTGCTGATCAAGTATTTGTGGCAACGCTGCGTCTGCTTGTTTTCTCAAGCGTTTTGGCGCGGTTTGGTCGAAAAGGTGTATCTGTGAGGCACTGAGCGCTGTATGTGAGCCCTGAGAAGCAGTTGCGACGCTCTCGTCGTGCTCGTTTTCGCAGAGAACTGCAACTTGAAGCTAGCCCGCAGTTTTCTGATTTGGCGAATTATATGTGGCTGCAATCGCATTTCTTTCGTGTTTGTGTGGATACCCGATCCGCCGGCGATCATCGGAGCCAATTGAATGTACGTGCGATTTTTCGGTTCGCTGAGGCCCGGTTTCTTGCCTTGGATGCCGGGGTCATGAACGACGATTTTGTCCAAAAGCAGAGGCTCTTTTGACGGAGTGGGGCCGGAGACTGTCAGTTTCACAATATTATTGGCCGTACAGTTGTTGTAGCATTCCCCAATGTCAAGGTCAACGCATGTGGTTCGCTGATCGTCCCAACACATCTGACACTATCCGGCTCAGAAGCTGTGACTTTGGTGGAAAGTTCACTGCTGCACCTCTGTTGTCTGTTACGGAAAGAAGTGCTGATGTCTCTACGTACTTTGGGCGCCGCTTCTACTTGAGGCTTGCCTTCTCCAGAGCATCACTGATTTGATGGTCGAAGGGTCTGTGGTGGTTGAATGGGAACTATCGTCCGGAGACGTGGCTGGTTGCGTCGGCATGCTTTCGGGAGCACAGTGAGCTATGAATACAATCAGTTTGGTCATGAGTTTGGGGTCGGCTGAACTGGCGCCAAGCAGAAGCCTGATTCGCGCCATTATGTTCATAATTACTCATTAGTCGGGACGATCAGCTTCAGAATGACAAAACGTCCGTTTGTGAAGATGGCGCAGGAAAGCCACGTCCGGTGCACCGAAGGAGCGATTCAAACCATAAGTGCAGATTTCCGTGGACACATCCGAAGCACGGCGTGTCAGCTAAACATGTGAATACAAGACGGATGAACAGAGACTTCGCATAGTGGCGAGGTACTGCTGAGTTTTCGCTCTTTAAACGCCTAACTAGGCTTTCAACAAATGCAAATTAATAGGTCAACGAATACATGCCAGGATGTTATGGTTTTCACTAAGACTTGAGGAAGTCGATTCATGCACAAGCCAAACTAAAACAAATGATTGGCTGGTGCTAGTCACGTGATCCATACCAGAACTTACAACTACTACATACGAGGCCTTGCTGCTTATCAGGAGTTTGCACCAATAGCCGCTCGTGGCTCCGTGGCCGAGCGAGGTAATCCTCAGAGCAGGTCTGAAGGTTCGCGTTTCAAGTCCGGGAGAAGTCGTCCAGTCCGTTTCGACTTTCCCGGTTGACACGTTACTTCATAGGATGTTCCTGATTTTTCTGAGTCATATGTAACATAGGAAATATGGTTAACTAAGATAAAAGCAACTTAATGTTCCCAGTGCGAGATCATAGATATTGTACACATATCCATGACTATAGTTAAGTTTGCATCGAGATTTCCGAAAACACAAATGTCGAGTACTTCCAAGCTTCTATCGGAAGAAGTGCTGTGGGTATTCAGAAGAAGGTTGTGTAAAAAAGGCAGGTCGATGTATACGTTAAGGTACGTGGATACATTCTGTGATGTTGAGATTTCTTATTAAGTAAACGTACTATTGCACATATTTCGCGTGTAGAAGCAGAAGTCTCCTGCAATAAATTATTATTATTGTTTCACTCTATTTTCTTGCTTGCACTGACGGTCCATTTTTACTTGGTTTATGCGCTTCAAACATCTAAGTCGTTTTTCTCTTGACTTGTGCACAACTGCAATTTGAACGCGCGCGCTTCCTGGCTTGTGCACAACCAACCAATCAGAATGCTGGCTTGTGCATGAAGCGTATGCCAAGATTTGACCAGTCTGAACTTTAACCATTTGTATCTCGCGCAAATTCACTTCGAATATCCGCGCTTTCTAATTTGTGCACAACCAACCAGTTTTTACCACAGCCACCAATGGTTTTGGTCGCGTGACAAGCTTTAGTCAATCAGTTACACAAGTTTGGCTAACGTGAATCAACTTTCCGAAAGCAACAAGAGATAAAAACTGGGGAATTTATTCCACTGTCGGTACCTCCCAATCACACTGAGCAAAGCCACTGTCTTGCGGCCTGGACTGGGTTGCTAGTATCTCGAGGCCATATAGGGGCCACATGCTCGAATGATGTAAAAAGCCGTTGTGAAGATACAAATAATTGGAGCTCCTTGTTGCTCGTACGGCAGGATGTGGCAGACGATTTGAAAAGATACAACCGATTCACAATATCCATGTCTACCACGTCACATGCGTCATCCTCCGCGTTTTAGAGGTTTGATGTTCAATTTTTATGTCCGACGAAATAAATGTTGTCGTTGATGGTGGAATACGACTGCTCTGGTTTTGGCCGCGCCACGCACGACAGGAATTCTCTTGGATGAGTTCATCTGGGGTATCAAACATTTAATATGCAGATACAATTAGCATGTCTGAGTGTAATGGATGCCAGTTTTTATCCAAAACTGGATGTATCTACCCTTTTAGAAAGCGAGCGACTTGCTCCTGTGCGTAAGCTGTTCAGCTTGTTTACGAACGATTCAGCCGAGCTGCATTAGGACATTCGTAATGAGTAAGATGATATGGCAGATACAAGCTTTCGAAGCCGCGTTTTGCTGCGACATAATGGCATGCTATTTTTACGGGCCCCACTCCGTTGGAAAGTACATGCCATGATGCCATTATTTTCTCCGCATACTAATCCTAGCACGGCCGACGCATTCCGCCGCTTTGTCTTCTTCGATATCATGGCTTAATAAGTGCCTATTCACTGGATAATAACAGCATAGTTCTCGCAATGCTTTGTACATCTGGCAGGGAATAATAATAATACTGTCTATTCCCAACTTGTGGGTGGCATACCGTCTGGCATGGTCATGCGTTTACAGTCAGAATAGGGCATGAATGAGGGATCTCCGGGTAGTGGGGATTGCGCGAAAAGGGGGCAATGCTATAAACAGTGGGAAGTACTCGTTTAAATAATAATAATAATAATAGCAATAGGTTTTTTCGCGACTTGTAGGGAACAATGTGCATGAGGTCCGATTAACGCAGAGCCTCAGTCGGCTGACATGTACTAAAACTGGAAAACCGCTGCTGGCCATGAGTGACCTTGGGCGGTTGGGTAAATGGCCGGAGCAATAACAAGCAAAAGTGGAGGTGGAGATGGGATAATTCGAGTTGGGAGAACACGGCAAGTTTAGTCTCAGAAATATGGTGCAATCTGAGAACAAGCAGACTCACTGGTTGCACTGTTGTTGGGAAGTCATCAAACTGAGTATGGCAGTGCCGTGCCATCATTGGCCGGACATGCTTCAGTCTTTGGACAGCCACATGACGGACGTCACATTTGAGATGATTCGGCTGGGGTGTGCAGTTCACTGAACAGCGGTATTCATTTCAGCCCGGTCGAGGAAACAGGCCGGAATGAAACCGATATGGGATTGTAGGTTTTCTTGGTCCGCTTGGTGATCCCGGAGTTGTAGATCATAGGCCAGGTGGCGTGGGTATCGGCTAACCAGGTCGTCCAAAGAGGGCACTTCCGAAGTTCAGAGTTTTGGAAGGTGAGGCATGGGAGGAGATTCACAAAATAGTGAGTTTGAGGGGAAATAAAATGGGATAATATGCATTAATATACACAGAAATAAAAACTTGGCGTCAGCCTGGTCGAGGAAACAAGCTGGTACGAAACAGATATTGAATTGTAGGTTTTCTTGGTCCGCTTGGTGATCCTGGCGTTGTAGATCATTGGCTAGGTGGAGTCGATATCAACTAACCGGGTCGTCCAAACGGGCACTTCCGAAGTTCAAAGCTTGGGAAGATGAGGTGATGGAGGAGATTCGAAGGTCTCGTGCATCTGAGTGGCCAAT